TAGTTCTTTGTTTTTTTTTTCAGTTCAAAATATTTGTTTAAGGATTTGAAAACGGATATGTTTCGTTAGCATATAAATGTACCTACATATGGGTACATATTATGCAGTGAAAAAGGAGTTCAGTTACGTTGGTAACTATAAATCACTTTACTAAACTCGTTTCTCAGTTTGTAGATGATAGACTTTGTTAAAGCTTAAGCTTGGTTACTACAATTCATGCCCGACATAATTGTAGGACCACCCTTTGTTCTTTAGAGCTTCTAGCGTGTTGGAGCACTCTGCGAGTGGCTTTTTGCAGATGTGCAAATGCTGGTACCAGAGTGGATTAGCAGCCAAGTGTACAGCCTCATATGGGGAAAGACGTCAGCAGTTGGGATGAAAGATTGCAGAAGCACAAAGAGTCCAACTGCAATGACATTAATTTGTGGCACAAGCCAGCCACGCGCATCCCGAGATGCATATACATACATGTATGCACATACATATTTATGTGAGACCATGCATTCATTTGTGTACAACAGAATCTATTCATGCGTTCCCCAAAGCGTGCATTTCGACTCAGTTGTCGCTTTGACAAGTTACATTTGCTAAAGCCTCAGATGCCACAGAAGGAGAAATGTATATGTACGTATGTTTAAATGTACATATGGATACGTATTCTTTAATAGAAACGCATTATGGGTTTTCATTTCAACATTTAAATGTTCCGCAACCGCGTAGACCTCGTAAATAAACCGGTTTTCAATAAAAAAAATGCAGTAACTTTACGATGTTCACGTACTCACGCGGCACTTAAGCGCTTAGATGAATACCTCCATTAATTTGGCGTTAGTACTTACGCGAACTGTCATACTGGATGCCCTGGAACTCGTGTAGGCACGGTAATGCCGCCAAAGTGCCACGCGGCGTTCGCGGCCAACAAAGGATCGAGTCGAAGTGAGTGAGGCAGTAGGCACTGTCATTGCCGTAGGTCGTTGTATCAATGTGCTGCTGCAGCAGGCACTGCAGTTCTGTGCTCTCATTAATTGCATCGAGGTTGTCGTAGGGCTCGAATAGCGTCTCATCGTCAGCACCCACGCCCTGCACTGCACCGTCCGTTGCGTCCGACATGTTGACCAGAATCAACACAGCCGGCTGGTT